TACCCCCAGTGGTCACGCACTCCCCCACTCCAACCTGTACGACTATTCCCAAAAGTGACCCTGGAACGCCTAGGCCCGGGGTCTGCAGCCGAGCCCAGGATAGGGTGACAGGTCGGCGAGTCCAGGCCCGCAGCCCCCAGGCTCCTGGGCGGTGCAGGAACCCCCTCACCCCGGCCCCTAGATCCCACGAGGGCACCGCTCGCAGGCCAGAGGGCCGTGGCTCCGCGTGTTGCTCTGCACTGGGGTGTGGAGGGCGGCGCAGGTGTTAAGGGTCAGGTTTCCCGGCCTTCAGGCCTGCTGGGAACATCTTCCAACTACCCCAAGAAAATGCACCAGGAAAAAAAAGTCTCCTCCCCGTCACGTTTCTGGTTTGCGGTTTTGTTTCTGCTACTTTGAGGGTGGGGGACAAAAAGCAAAACTTTCTACATAAGAATGTCGCAGCACACACAGTCCCGTAAAGTGTTTCTTCTTCAGGGCGCTTTAGAAAAACCCCCTGTCCTGCTTTCTGCATGGTCAAGGAGGAGGATAATGAAACCAAAGACTTTCATTTTATAAACCACTTGATCTTTGCTTGGGAAACTCTATTAATTGAATGGGTTTGCCTTTTTTGCCAGTCCCCTTTATCATTATTTATGGGCTTTAAATTGTTTAAAGTTCCCTTGACGTTCAATTTACAAGTTTGGAGACTTTTTTGTTCTGCCTTTTGTCCTGGAGAAAGACATCGTGTTGGAAGTGCTTTGAAAAGCCAAACAGGAGAAGTTGGCAATGAAAGGGAAGCAGGCGAGATCCCTTTTAATTCCGTCCTGTTAGTGAATGGCTCTTTTACATAATTGCAGGAGCTATTTCAAAGCCAGCCAAGGGCTGACTTCACTTAGAACCACATGGAGTCTATTTTGGGCTTTCAGATTTAAAAAAAAAAAAAAAAAAAGACTGAATAAAATAGTTAAAAAAGATGAGGCTTCAATGCTTTCTGCTACTTGCAAATTGGTGTGTCTGATGGGGAATTTTACACAAGCACCCCTTTGTAAGTGCGTCTTGGGCTTGGGAGGGACTGTTGTGGGTTTGCTGGGTGTGAATCCCAATTGCCCTTCCATAAATAAAACCCATCCCAAGCTATTTCCCAACGATTGCCAGGAGCAAGAGCTGCTGCAATGACCGAATGATCAGGCCACTCAAAGTCTCTATAAATAAAAACAACACGGTTGCCAGAGAAACCACCCTGTCTCCTGGGACTGGGCGGCGGGTGGGAGCACCCGGCCCGCTAGGTCTGCGGGTGTCTCCGCACCCACGGAGACCTGGGGCGCCCACGCTGCCCCTTCTCCACGACCGCCCGCGACCTCCACCCTGGCGGCGGCGTGAAAAGGCGCGGTTCGCGGTGCTTCCTCCTCGGTGCTGGACTCGGTGGGCCAACGCAAGTTTGCCACATGAATATTCATTTACTTGTGCATTTAGCATTTTATACTCAGCCTCCATACACCTGCATGCAAACGTTGACTGGGACAGCCCCGAAGCGTGGATACAACTTAATTACCCTCAGTATTACTGACGTCTGAGATTTTAAGTGCCTTAATACGATCTTGACACCAGCTTGGCACCGGCCAAGGAAAGTGCCCAGGGGGTGGGCCACCTTCATCCCCGCGGGAGCCTTGCGGGGGGGTGGGGGGGTTCGCAGAAGTTAACTAGAGTTGGAGGACCTAGAGGTGCCTGCGGTTGTGTCCTTCCTTTTTCCTAATCCCAGGGAGCTGGGGGTGGGGGACCTCTTAAGGCAAAGTTGCAAAGATCTGCGCCCGGTGGTTTTCCTGCGCAGCCTGGGCTGAGCCGAGTCACCCCAAGGGCTCTGCAGTTTGAGGCAGTTCCGAGGTAAGCAGGTAGGAATCCAAAGGATGGATAAACCATGTACCTGTCGCTCGCTACCCATAAATCTCTCCGAGGAGACGAGGAAGAACTCTAGGGGCTTTTATTATACGCAGTCCCCGCGCTCTGAACGCTTTGCAGGTAGCTGAGGTGCCCCGAATGAATCTTGTTAATCACGGCGAAGCACAAGAATCCTTTTTTGACGCCAACAGTCGTTTTCTGAGCAGTTAAGCATTAGATGAGAAAATATCACTGCATTGCATTCGAGAAAAAGCACACTAGTAAATAAAATTCATATTGATGAGAATTCTCTGAACTCACTAATAAAAGAAGATTAGTATTGTAACCCCCGCAGTCAATACTTTCCACAGCAATTTATGGATGCAAATAATATGCCATCAAATTATTTCAAGTGTAGCTATAATTCAACGGACCTAAATCTTCTTGCTGAACTTTAAATGTAGAATTATCACCAAAATAATCAAAGGAATCCCTGTCTCTCTCGGAGGGTAATCAGGCGACGGAAGTCCCTAGAACAATATTTTTCCGGCGAAATAGCAAAGTGAATGGCAAATCTGCCTAGGTAAAATGAGTAACAGCTTACACAGGCCCAGTGTCAAGCGGCGAAAAGACCCGGCTGTAGCAACGTAAATCAAGCAAGGAGTCGAACATTTTTTCTTAGTATTCAAAAAACAAGGTAACCATACCAGAGACTCTGTGTCTGTTAACTATCTCATAATGAGATGGAGTATTTATTATGCCCATAAAGAAACCAGCCTTTTGCCCTGGGCTTCGATTTTTTTTTTCTTTTCCTTTTCTTCTTTTTCTTCTTTTGTAGGAGTGGAGAAAGAGGGATAGAGCTTAGAGACCCCACAGACACCTCCTGCCCCGCGGATTCCAACGATTCCCCCTCACGCCGCCTAAGCCACCTCGGGGTCTGGGCGTGAAGGGAGTGCAGGCGGTGCAGTCAGCAGCGTCCTAATGAATTCCTTTTAAACCGCCTGCTGCCGGAGCCATCTATTACTGCGGCCTGGAGTGGGGAAACGCGCTCGAGACGTCTTTGTCCGGGGCGCGGGGGGAGGCGGCGAGCAGGGGGAGGCCGGCTGGCGGCGGGGCCGGCGAGTTTTCCCAGCACTCTGGGGCGCCGGGGATGCACCCTCCTCTCTTTCCTCCGGGCCCCTTTGGGTGGGCAGTGGGTTCCTGGCTGAAGAGGCGGTCTGGAATTAAGACGTCCCCCTGGGGGCCTTGGGGTTAGAGCGGGAGAAAGAAGAGCGAGAAAGAAGAGCTTCAAAGAATAGGGTCGATAAATTCATAAAGATCGATTTATCTTTATCTCCCAATTAAATGTGCTTGTAAGTGATACATAACACACGTCCAACACGGGCCAACTCCCCAACCACTAGCTCCTCGGCGTGAGCTGATTTTTAATGACTGACATAACAATGCCCTTCTCTCCTCTCCTCGCGAGCCAGGTGCTTGTCAGCGGTTCGGGGCGAACGTCTAGACCCGGGAAGTTGGAGCCCAGGCCCCGGAGGCGCGTGGAAGCCCCGCGCGCGCTGGCGCGCATTGCGCGGGCTGCCTTTGCCACGAACGATTCCATTTTTAAAGAGAAATTCAAGCCCTGGAAGTTTTTGTTTTTGTCATAGAGAAGAGGATAAGCACCTCCCTAGCTCCCACTCCCTCCCCGCCAGTTCCCTTACTCCCAAATTCTGGGGTTTTACCATTGTTGAGACAGGGGAAACATCTTGAGGGAATTGGCTCCATCCTGCAGTAGGCAAAGGGGAACGGCGCGCGCTCGAGTCTTCGCTCAGGAAACCGGGTGGCGGCGCCGGGGTGAGCGCTCCCTCCGTTCTCAACGTGCTTAATTAGCGCCTATTTACAAAACGCAGCTTTTATTTGAGCAAACATCATAAAGCTTTCATCAGGATAATCTCACGTTATACAATCTGGAGGCACAGCAACTCCCCCTTCCTCCCCGAGGATGGAGCAGATAAAGGACTCGCTTTATTATCATAATTATCGTGGCTGTTATTTTGGTGCGCGCAGGCAAAGTGTGTAAATAGGTGCGATGATTAAGAATGTCATGAAAAATGAGAAGGGATCGCTCACAGGAGGGCCCAGGTCGGGATGGGGGAACCAGCAGCCTCCCCGCCCCGCCTGGGAGCGCGGGGGGCGCAGCGAGCAACCCGGCCAGCTCCCGCCGGTGGCCGGGGCCTTCCAGTTCCCGACCAGGGCCCTAGGGGCGGATGTGAAGGGGCAGGACCTTGTTCCCAACTCCGGGAACCTCTTCTGGACCACGGGCGCAGCAGCAGCACCCAACGCTAGGGTGAGCCGCGGGCAGGTTTGTTCCAGTGCATTTGAGGAAGAAATAAAACGCCCTTGGCCCAGCCGCGTCCTAACTCCGGAAGCTGCCCTGGGAGGAGGCCTCGACAAGGCTGTCGGGCCGCGGGGTTCGAGCCGTGGAGCTTTGGAACCAACAGCCCCCTTTCAAGTTTGCGCGGCGCGGGCTCGGGGCGCAGGTTCCGGCTCTCGGGCCCGCGCGCTCCGCCGGTGGCGCCCGCAGCCCGCTCTCCGCCAGCCCTGGTGGAAGGGGCGGAGTCCCGATTTCGCCACCGCCCCCTCCTGGCGCAGCCAATAGGCGGTGGCGCCCGGCCCCACGTGAGGTAAGCCCGGCCTGGCAGCAGGCAAAATGTGAATGAGAAAGAGGAGCGCGATTTAAAGGTGCTGGCGGCGCCCGCCGAAGACAAGTGCGCCAGCTTCGCGCGCTCCCCAGCGGCCCGCGGGAGGCGACGGACTGCGGATCCGACAGACGGACGCACCGACGGCTGCGAGCCGGGGCCGAGGGTGGCAGACGAGACGCGCGCGGGCTCCGACGGGCAGGCGGCGGGCAGCGGCTTCAGCGTGCCCGCGGGGCCCGGGTGCCCTCTCCACTCCCGGGCGCACGGCCTCACCCCGCGCACCGCCCACACGCGCTCCCGCCGGGCATGCAACCCGCCCAGGACTGAGGGTCGGCGGCGCCTGCTTTCAGGGTCCCAGCCGGTCCCTGCCCGGCGCACCCGGCTGTGCTCCCGGCGCCCGGCGGGCTTCCTGGCGGCGGCGCGGCGCGGGGACTTTTCGCCTCTCGCTGGCCTCTCCCGAGCGCGTCTATGAGCGCAGCGTTCCCGCCGTCGCTGATGATGATGCAGCGCCCGCTGGGGAGTAGTACCGCCTTCAGCATAGACTCGCTGATCGGCAGCCCGCCGCAGCCCAGCCCTGGCCACTTCGTCTACACCGGCTACCCCATGTTTATGCCCTACCGGCCGGTGGTGCTGCCGCCACCACCGCCGCCGCCACCCGCGCTGCCCCAGGCCGCGCTGCAGCCCGCGCTGCCGCCCGCGCACCCTCACCACCAGATCCCTAGCCTGCCCACCGGCTTCTGCTCCAGCCTGGCGCAGGGCATGGCGCTCACCTCCACGCTCATGGCTACGCTGCCCGGAGGCTTCTCCGCGTCTCCCCAGCACCAGGAGGCGGCGGCCGCCCGCAAGTTCGCGCCGCAGCCGCTGCCGGGTGGCGGCAACTTCGACAAGGCGGAGGCGCTGCAAGCCGACACTGAGGACGGCAAAGGCTTCCTGGCCAAGGAGGGCTCGTTGCTTGCCTTCTCCGCGGCCGAGGCTGTGCAGGCGTCGCTCGGTGAGTCGGCGGCGCGCGCGACCCGGGCGCGGGGGCGGGAGGGGGCGGGGGCGAGCCAGCTCCGGGTTCCCGCTGGGGCCGAGGGGGCGAGGCCGAGCCCCCTCCCGACCCCCGCCCCGGCTTCCCCCCTCCTGAGCAGCAGGAGGACGCGGCGGAGCCGTGCCGCGAGGCCTCCGGGGGGCATTTAGAGCCGAGCAACAAGCTAGGGGGTGGGGTGGCATTTAGCTCCCGGGGCCAGCTGCTGCGCGGGGCGGCTGATGTCTCGAGGCGAATTTGGATGAGTCTGTCCCCCCTCCCGCGTGCCTAGACCTGGGATCCTGGATAGGTTTCAGCCCTTAGGGGTGGTGGGTTGGGCTGTGCGTCTCAGCAGTGCGTGTGCTGGGGGGGGGGGAAGGGGGCGCCCAGACCTATTAAACCCCTTCACTGGGCTTGCCCGGGAGAAGCGGATTCCTGGGAGGTTGTGCGTCTGCCTGTGTGTTGGGGTGTCTGGTGGGAACTTCTCCTAAGGCTACAGAACTTCCCTTTTACCAACATTATCTGTCTCAAAAAAAAGACACGGTCTGGGATCTGTACCTCCCTGTGTCCCCACTTTGACTGCGATGTAAATTGAGGTTCACTAAATTTTCATTGGGGGGCACAAGATGGATCATGAATTTCCCCCTCCGTCCTCACCCAGCCCCCACCCTGGGGACAAAGGGGACGCTCTCTTGGGCCTCACGCCTCCTGTTACTTCTGCCTTAAGCTGCCGGAGGCTGGGAGGGTGCAGACGTGGCCTGGCGGCCCCTTGAGTGATGGTTCTGGGCAAAGGGCCGTCGTCTGTACTGTCTTCTTTCCTCCTTTGAGCTTTCTCACGCCCCCCCCCCCTTCTTTGCCCCTCAAAGGCCAGGAAATCACAATGTGTTAATGTCATAGAAAGACAATCCGCTAAGGGGGGAAAAGGCCCAAGTGAGGGTGGGAAGGGGAAAGGAAGGCCAGTGTGCGAAATGTAATAAAACGCCGTTTGGTTTTGCTTTCAGTCGGGGCTGTCAGAGGGCAAGGGAAAGACGAGTCAAAGGTGGAAGACGACCCGAAGGGCAAGGAGGAGAGTTTCTCGCTGGAGAGTGATCTGGACTACAGCTCGGATGACAATCTGACTGGCCAGGCGGCTCACAAGGAGGAAGACCCCGGCCATGCGCTGGAGGAGACCCCGCCGAGCGGCGGCGCCGCGGGCAGCACCACGTCCACCGGCAAGAACCGGCGGCGGCGGACTGCCTTCACCAGTGAGCAGCTGCTCGAGCTGGAGAAGGAGTTCCACTGCAAAAAGTACCTCTCGCTGACCGAGCGCTCTCAGATCGCCCACGCCCTCAAACTCAGCGAGGTGCAAGTGAAAATCTGGTTTCAGAACCGCCGGGCCAAGTGGAAACGCGTGAAGGCTGGCAATGCCAATTCCAAGACAGGGGAGCCCTCCAGGAACCCCAAGATCGTCGTCCCCATCCCCGTCCACGTCAGCAGGTTCGCTATCAGAAGTCAGCATCAGCAGCTGGAGCAGGCCCGACCCTGAGGGCGCAGGGAGAGCCAGGGCCTGGACCACCGTGGAGAAGCCATAGCTCTGGAGGAAACCGCGGTGGCCTCTGCCACGTTTGAAGCAAAACTCAAAGTCACCCCCCCTCAACTTTGGACATCCCAAGCACATTGAGAGTATATTCATTAAAAAGGCTTAAAAGACTGCTTTTGAAGGGGCTACAGCTACACCTGAAGACACACTAAATATTTATTATACTATCCTACTTTGTACATATATATCTATATAAACTGGATCTCAGCTGCAGTATTTTGAAAGTTATAGGACCAAACTACCCAGTAATATTCTCCACTCACATTCCAGAAGAAAACAAAACCTCTGCTGTAATCCGCCATGCATAGCAGCCTCCTTTCCATACTTTTCCAAAGGTAAACATGACACTCAAGAACGAACCATGGGTTTTACGCTCATTTTTGTTTCTATCTTGGTTTTTGTTTTTGTTTTTTTTGTTTTTTGTTTTTTTTTAGTTGACTGAAAAGCAGATGTTTTTGGGCAGCCTGGAAATTTGCTTTGCTTTGGTTTTGCCTGGCTTTCTTTCCTGGGGTTGCACATCCTATCTGAGCCATGTTTGAAGCACGTCTCCGTTGTGTTTAATTTATTTCAATGTAGCTTATTTTCTTATAAGTTATGACATTTAAACAATCGCAGTCTTGTGAATAATAAAAAGGAGAGAGAGAGAAGGGGAAAAAAGGACCAATCTCTGGGTCTCATAAGTGTGTCCAGATTTGACTGTTTAGAGGCTACTACTAGGGTATGACCAGGTGGCTGGTCTGGGGCCAGTAGTGGATAAAGGTCTGCTGTCCTGGTCTCTGCAGGCTGGCTGGACACTAGCCACCCTGCACCTTACCAGGTTTTCAAGTGAAGAGCAAGAGCTCTACTTGAGTTATAAATTTAAGGAAACCTAATTTTCATCTTAGAAAGCTAACATCTCCCCTTTTGCATGATCTAATCAATACCTAGAAGGCTGGCAAACTTCGGCCAGAGGAGGAGGCGGGCGCCCGGAGGAGAGAAAGCGAGTGCGGGTATTGGCGGCTTTTCACAAACTCCTGATGTTCTAAACCGACCCCTGCCAGGGAGGAAACGCGTTTTCTTACCAACATCCCCGGTCGGAAAAGGAGCTGTGCTCGCTCCCCAAGCTGGGCCAAGCGCCCATAAATCAGGCTCCGGGCGTTATCTTGCAACGGGAGCAGGAACCCACCCAAGCGAGCTGGGCTGGCCGGCCGCGCTCAGCTCGAAGGAGGAGGCGAGCAGCGAGCACAGGCGGGCCGGGCACCTCCCTCTCCGGGCGGGGTCGGAGGGGCGGGCCCCGGCCACCGCCCCACCCCAAGGGCTCTGGGGCCGTCGGCCGCACAAAGAGGGTAGGGGAGAGGAACGCCGGCGGGGTGGCGGCCGGGTCCGCAAGGGTGCCCGAGAGCTGGGCAGCTTCCCGCCTCGGCGGGGCGGCCCACCGGGCGCGGGAAGGGCGTGCCCCGACCCCCCAAGTCCCACTGCCCTCACCCCCGGGCACCGCGCCCCCGAGCCCAGCCCAGAACGCCCGCTCCTTTCCCGACCCCGAAGCGCGGGGCCAGGCCCACTGGAGATTGTCGTGGACGGGCCCGGGGTTGCTCTAGGGGCGTGGAGCGAGCGAGCGAGAGTGAGCGCGGCCCGCTAACCTGCAGGCTGAAGGGCGAAGAGAAAGAAGCCAGAGGCTTCGCCAACCTCGGCCTTCCGCGTGGGGAGCAGGTTCCAAAGCAGCCGCGCGCGGTGCCCACCACGGATCTCAGCCCTAGAAGGGGAGACATGTCGCCCTTGGTCAATACTGGTATTGACTTAATTTACACGGCTTACAGCCCGTCACCTCCCCGCGCCGGAGGGCCATGGGGCCTGAGGCCTCCGCCGGCACTTGACGCGCAAGGTGAGGGACGGAGGCGACCAAGGCAGCGTTTCCCACCGTGTTCCCGAGATTTCCAGGGGCGGAAAATGGCCCAGACTTGGTTTTCGAGCACAATAGGACGGAGTGGCCAGACCTCCGAAGGCCTCAGCCGGCTCTGCGGGGCGCGGAGAACTCGAGGGCTCCTTGAGGTCCCTCCCCCCAGGGCCCTGGGTCCTGCGGTTGGGGGCTGCGCCGGGGCCTTTTGCTGACCTCCGCGCCGGAGGGCCACTGCCCGGGGGCAAAGGCCCCGGCGCCCGGTCCGCCAGGCCCGGCCGCCCGCCGGGATCCCGCCAGTGGCCCTCGGGCGAGCGCACCCGGATCGCGCGTTGGCGTCATGTGCTCGAGGCAGGTTGCCCCGGCCACACGCCGCTACCGCGCATTCGAGGCTAGCGGAGACGCCGCCCCCACCGCGTCCCGTCCCCCCCACCCCCACCCCACACCCCTGAGCCCGCTGGTCCCGGGGCGGGATGGATAGGCGCCCCCGGCGGAACTGTGGCTGGTGGTGTGGAGTCCCAGCCGAAGGAGCGGCGGCCTCCCGGGCGGGGGCGCCCCCACTCGGCACTCTGGGCCTGCGGGAAGAACCCTGGGTATGGAGAGCCCCGTACCCGCGGCAGATCCTAGAGTGTCCTCACTTCCCGTACACCTTGACACCATAACAGGTGTAACTCCTACTCATCTTCTCCAGAAGCCCAAGGTAGGGATAGAAGGCACAGAGGGACCCAGAGCCTTGGCTACACGGACCCCGCGGGAAAATGAAGCTCCCTAGAAACTGGGGGCCACCTTCAGGAATCCCCACCCCGCTGGGGGGTGCGGGGGCACCAAGTTACCCGGCCCTCCCGCCCTTTGGAAGCACAAGGAGAGGGCCAGGGCTCCCCCAGCCTGCGGATGGATGCGGAGCCCCTCTGCGCTCTCGGGAAGCTGCTCCCCCCAACCCCTGAATGCCGGGGCGCCCCCGAGAGCTCGGTGCGGAGGCCGAGGCCCGAGAGACAGGCCGAGGGGAGGAAGATAAACAAGCAGCCCTTGATGGCCGCTGTCATCATGGCCGTCATCATGGCTTTCATTTGGCTGCCTAATGAGTCACATCACAGGCAGAGAGAAAAATTGTCAATCGCCCGGGCCCTAATGAATTTTTTTGCAAATTGTAATCAAGCCAGGCCGTCTCAGCTGGCTGATTAATGAGACCCACGAGGCTCGGCCAGCACCTCAGCTTTTTATTCCATCCCGTCCTCCCTGCACTAAATTAACAGCAACTTGTCTGAGCTTCAAATTAACTCCCAATGATTAATTCTGATGGGGGGGCCTGAAGAATAGCTTGTTCTAATAGGCTCTGGCCTGAGATGCTGTTGGAAATTAATACACTTCCCCTTTGGCTGCCGGCTTTAATCCAAGGTTGGGTTTTGACATCACTATATTTGTTGTTACAATAAATTCCACTTACATCTGCAGATCAAATAATTACGCTTGGGAGCTCCCGGCCCTGCGCCCCCAGCCATCCGCTAGAGCCCCCCGGGGCTGCCGGCACCCCTTGTCCACCAACCTGGACAGGGGTATGTAGCAGGGGGGTGAAGGAACCGCCACACTAACGGGGACCCTCTGCCCTAGCTCCCCAGGGAGTTGGGTGAACCCCCCCCCCCCCCGCCTTTTGGAGAACCAAGGGTACTTTGAAAACACATCTACACTTTCTTGAGCAGAGCCCTTTTGAGATTGGTCTTAGGCCCCCAAGCAACCCCTCCCACCCCTCTCTTCAGGGGCTGGGGACATCCTTGGGGCAGCCTGGGCCACCAGCGCTTGGATCCTCCCCCAACCCCATTCCGGAGGGAATTTTTGAGATTTAGCACATGCTTCTACATCCAGCTTTTGCCTCCTAGTCTTCAGCCCCCTGGATTATTCTTTCACAGGAGCTTTTCAGCTAACTGGGGTGGACTGGGGTGGGGTGGGGGCCCTCCAGGTCTGGTGTGCCTCCCAAGAGCATCCCGAGTCTATGGCTGCCTGAGCCTTTGCAGTTCCCTCTCGGCCTATGGCTGGCCCAAGCACCTGCATTCCAAGACTGCGGTTTCTCTCGGGGTCAAAGCCCGCTTAGCCTAGCGTCTGTTTGTTTGAGCTTAATTGGCTTAATCATTTCAGCTGTGTCGGGCAAGCCTGGCAGAGGGCCCCCAAGGCGGCTCCCTCCGCCTGGGTCTGTCCCAAGTGGAGGCGTCCGCTGTCCTCCCCACCCCCACCCTTGGTAGGGGCTTCTGGATGTACTGGAAGTCAGGTGGGTCACTCCGGTGAACCTCAGGATCTGGTCACCACCTTCCCTGATCCTAGGCCTTCCCAGATCTCATCTGCCATCTGCGGCTGGCGGCGGGGGGGTGGGGGGTGGGTGGGGTGGTTCTGGCGGCCCAGCAGTAGAGTCCACCTCGACTGGCTCTGTGGGATACTGGAGTGACCACGCAGCCAAATGGCCTGCCCACGCCCAGCTATGGCCTCCCTGGGAAGGAGGCTCCTGTATGCGCCCCCCTGTTTTCTGTCCCCGGAGACCCCAGGCCTCTGCTCCAGCGTGCACAGCCTAAGCAGGTGGCCTGCTTGGACCCTCTGCAGGGCAGGGCTTCCTGGAAGACCCTGAGGCCAGGGCCTCTTTCTCCGGAAGCTCAGCACCGGGGCTCTCGGGGAGCCAGGCTCTGGGGTCGAGGGGGGAAGCTGCGGTCTAGGGTCTACGGGGAGCGGCCCCGGGCGAAGGGAGGAGGCATTAATCTTCATTTTGGGCCCTTATGGTGTAAACAGGAGAAATACGATCTTGGTAACCTAACATGAATGCAAATCGCAGCGTCAGAGTAATAAAGCACCTGAAACCCCGACACACAAAAGCAACACCATATGTATGAAGACAACCTGCATAAATTATAAATTACATCATAAAAATGGATTGCCTCTTTGAATAGTTCAGAAGTGAGAGACCTCAGCTGACTTCTGCCCTCCGTGGCTTTGGTTTAAGGTCAGGGAGTGCATTTCCCCCCGACTGGCCGCGGACCTGGTGACTGGGCCTAGAGTCTCCTGCGGGAGCTGCGGACCGGCTTGGGGGCACCAG